TTGCAGCATCGATCCTATGGGGCATTTAAGAATGTTCTTTGTAAACCTTCAAGTCCTTTATAAAGATGAAATCATTCTTATAAACAGCCTTAATATAAGAGGAAGCAAGTTAGGACAAGTCTCAGTTTGTCAGCATACCAGATAAATCCTCATAAAAATCTCCTGACTCTATGATAACATCAAGTCCTTCCTTTAGATCTCCTAGTAAGATCTCACTGTATCCCAATTCCACTCCCTATATTCTTTAATTATTGTTAGCAAAGAAACTCGACACATTTACCACTCAAGTTCTGAATGGTATTCAAGTGATGAGATTAAAAAATATTTTATTAATGTTCTTTTTTAAAAAAAATCATTATCACTTCCCAATGATTCCTTACTCTCTCCCTCCACACCCAAGAGATCCCTACCTTGTTAAAAAAAAAGTACAATTAAGTAAAACAAAGCAACATATTGCCCATGTCTGACAATATATGCCTCCATTTGTACCTGTAGTCCACCATGTCTCAAATGAAAAGTGGGAAACATGCTTCACTTGACTGAAGTTACAATTGGTCATTGCATTGATTAGACTCTTGAAGTTCTTCGATATGCTCAAGGGCTGTTTTCTATATCATCGGTATCACTTCAGAATGATCTTTCCAGTCCAATTCAACTACTGATCAGTAGTGCCTCTTATAAATACTCAATTCCATAATCTTTGAAGTATAATGCCCTTATGCCATTCAGTCTCCTCAAAGCATGACGACAAAAATCATAGCAGTGATTAACTTATGTTGTATTCACTGTGGTACTCATGCTGCATGGTTAGCGAAGTTCCAATCCCTTTGAAATTCTGTTGTAATATTGGTGTGAAGAGAAATTTGACTAACCATCCCAAGCTTAGAATAAAAACCCAGGTACTCACATTTTAGTCCATAAACTTATTTTACTTAAAAAAGGGTAAAGACTTTATTGACTATCACATGAGTAACTTATTCCTGCAATCTATCAGTAGTTAGCTGAACCATCTGAAACTTCTATGTAATGCTGTCATTGAGTGGCAACTCATCAGTTTTTCAGCTATTACTACATATATTGAGATCCCAGTTACAATTCAGTGCATTCATATATCTTTAAAAAAACTATTGCTTTGACTAATTAGAAAGGATATTCTAGATATGTAAGAGACTAGCACATAGCCATTAACTTACTCATTTACAACAACACATTTATATAGCAGCTGTGAGCCCTTTTTACCTTCCATGAACAGCTGAATTTTGTAAACACTTCCAATTCAGTGTTATTTTTTGAATCATCTTTTCCTATGCATAGATGGATAGGGAATGATTAGTCTTTTTTTCCCCCTTTTATGGGAGTTTTTGGCATGTCTAATATCTCCTTTTATAGTACTTTCTATGTGTGAACATATTCATTTAAATAAATGAAATTACTCAATGTCTGAATTTGGAGACATCTTGGGTACAAGTATTATATATGTGTTTTTAAAACATTTCTTTCAGTTTTCTAGTCTTAAAAATACCAGCACCAATAATTTACACACATACACACTCCACCCCCATCACTTCCCTGGTGTTGTGAAAAGAACATTCAATTTAGAATGGGAAAGACATAGATTCTCACCATCGCTCTGACCTTGGGCAAGTAAGGCCCTTGTTTTCAGTTTCCTCTCTATTAAATGAGAGGGTTGAACTAGGAAAATCCCTATGGGTCCTTCCAGCTTGCCAACTTCCTATCACACATTTTGAACTTGATGTCATCTCATGGAAATATCAAACTCAACATTTCCAAAACAGAATTCATTATTTTTCCTCCCTAACCCACATTTCCTCAACTTCCTTATTTTTTGAGAGCACCACCATCCTATCAGTCACATTTATTCATAACCTCAGAGTCCTCATCAACTCCCCAATCTCCCTCATTTGCAAACAATTTCCAAGTTTTTCTGATTCTACCATCATAACACTTCTTGAAAATATTTTCTCCTACTCACAGGGCCATCTCCCTAGTTTGAGCCCTCGTCATAATATTTTATCATTTTCTTTCTCTACGTCATGCAATGGTTTTTTTTTTCTAACCATGTTTTTCATCCTCATTATGACTTCCATTTCATCCACTCTTTCCCATTACCACTGCACTGGTTGGACTTTCTTCACTCTTATTTTTCAACTTCTTGGGGAAAAAAGCTGAATTCCACACTATCTTCCACTCTGGAATCCCTTGGCCCCTTGTCCTATCATCAGTCATGCTTAGCTAAATCCCAATGCTTTATTACTCTCACCATCTGCTTCTTTTGATTCTATTCACGTGTCAGTGAAAGGAGCTGAAGAAAAATCACCAAACTGCTTACTAGTTCAACTACCAATTGAAGTTACCTAATCTCAGTTGGGTCCCCATTGCAGCAAGTCAATCATTCTATTCCTCCCTAATTAATTGATTATCCCACTCCCCACAGCAACAGTTCTAAACCTCTGCTCAAGCTTCCTTTGGCACTCAGCCAAAGACCTTGCTTCATACTTCACCAAAAAAAAAAAAAGAGGCTGTTTGTCAAGAGTTCCTCCTTCTCCCCCTCTTCCTCATCTCTCTTTCATCTCATTCAGACATCTTTCCTTATTTTAGTCTTAAATAAAGAGATGGCCATTTTCCTTGCCAAAACCAACCCCTCTACATGTGCCTCCACCCCTTCGCAACTTCTCCAGTAGATCACTCCCACCATTATACCCACACAATCTTCAATCTATCATTGTCTCCTGCCTGCTTCCTTGTTGCCTACACAGGTGTCCATATATACCCCATCCTTAAAGAAAACCCCTCATCTGATCATTCATCTATGCTAATTATTACCCTGTATCTCTCTTTTCCTTAACATGACCTCAAAAAAGCTGTCTATACTAGGTGCTTCTATTTCTTTTCCTTTCACTATCTTCTAAATTCTTTGTAATTTGGCTTCAGATTCAGTCATTTAACTGAAATACCTCTCTTCAAAACTGCCAATGATCTCTTAATTTCTAAATCTAAAGGCTTTTGCTCAAGCCTGATCCCTCTTGACATCTCTGCAGCTCTTGACAATTCTGAACCCTGTCTTGGATAATCTGTCTTCATCAGGTTTTCATGACACTGCATTGTCCTGGTTCTTTCTTCTGTCTGACTTCTACTTGTCCATGTCATGTTCACTAATTGGGGAATATTCCTCAAGGATTGTACTGGATCTTCTTCTCACTTTATTTAGCCCTTGACTCTCTCCTGAGTTTCAGTCTCACATCACTAACTGCTTTTTGGATATCTCGAAATGGATGTGCCATAGGAATTTCAAACTCAATATGCCCAAAATAGAAATCATTATCTTTTCCCCAAAACCATCCCCTTTTCCAAAGTTGAGGACTACCTCTAAAACACCCAATTCCTTTGCTGTCTTCAACTCCTCAGTCTCTCTTAATTTATAATCTAATTTGTAGCTAAACCTTATTATTATTTCTACCTGCGTAACATCTCTGGAATTTTCCTCTTCTCTCTATTCACACAGGCACAATCCTCGTTCAGGCCTACATCACTCTTTTTTTGTTTGTTTGTTGGCTAGGCAATGGGGTTAAGTGACTTTCCCAGGGTCACACAGCTAGTAAATATTATATATTTGAGACCGGATTTGAACTCAGGGCCTTTTGAATCCAGGGCCGGTGCTCTAACGCACATCACTTTTTGAAAAACTATTGCAATAGCATCCTAACTGGTATCCCTGCATCAAGCTTCTTCCACTCCAATCCATTCTATGCTTAGGTGTCAAGATAAACTTAAAAAACAAAAAAAAAACCAGATCTGTCCATGTCACCTCCCCCTCCCTTCTTGGCTCAATGATTTCTAGTGGCTCTCTATTACTTACAGAATAATTATAAAATCCTGTCAATATTTAAAGCTCTTTATAACTTGGTCCCTTCTTACCTTTCCAGTTTTCTTCCGCTTTACTTTCCTTCATGAATTCCATCTTTTCCAGTAGCTATGGACTCCAAAATTGACTACCCCGTGGCAAGTATTCTGGTGATTAGTCTCTTTGAACTTAATTAAACCGGTTTTTTAATAAGAGGCACATAGCTCAAGACAGGGCTTTTGAGTCATTTATTGCATGGTACTATCAGTGACATCCTTCCAGGCATTTGGGGTATGTAAGGATATGCGCTCCTATATCACTAGGACTCGGACTACTAGGTTTATATAGCAGTTTAGTTGGCTTTTTTTTCTTGACTCAATATTTCCTCTCACTGAGTGTTTGCTGTATATTTGTTCCTCCTGATGCCCTTTTTTTCTACATTCAGCATTTAGCCAATAAGATACCCAGAAAATCTGAATATCTATAAATATCTAAATGTCCCTCTGAAAGGTTCTATACCACACATTGTCCTCCAGGTTAAAACAATAGTTTTTGAGATAACATGCGAGGATATGGTGACAACTGTTTTGCTTATTATTGAGACACATCTTTTTATTTTCCAGTTCCTGTTTACTTACAATGTTCACTATGGTGTAAGTTGCCGAGGAGTGATCTCAGTATAAACAAGGGGCTCCTTACCAGGTAAGGCGTCATAATGAAGGTTGACACATGACCAGGTAACTTAGGGTGGTATCACCTACAAGCAGACCCTGGGGACCTGCTTTGGGACTGTAGCATACATAAAAATTCTGCATTGAGCTGCTACATGGAACTAAACAGCTTTTTTTCAATTGGATTTGTAACCAGAACTGTCTGAATCTTTTAAAACTGCCTAACAAGGATGCTTTATGCTTTTTTCCAAAAGGTAAAGGACTTCATTCATAGCAGATGACACTAAGTAGTAAGGGGGAAGGGCATTACAGCTTCTCTTCTAGCCCCTATCCCCAGCCATGTGGCTCTGAAAAAGGAGCTTCAGGGGTTTTGACATTTTCCTTTTTCCTTTTCTGTTCTAGGTATAGGGAGTAGATCCTACTATCCTGAAACTTAAGGCATGGGGATCCAGAAGTACAGAAATTCAGACTGGGTATTACATCCAAACATGCAGTGAAGCCATGGGGAGCAAGGATTGGGGTTGCTGGCCTAGCAGGGCTTTGAACTTGAACTTAGTGGGATCAATACTACTAGATAATGAGTTACACTATGAACCTAATTGATCTCCTCCAACCTTCCCCAGAGGCTGAGGTAATGTGTGTGGGAATTATGGTCCGAAGGGATTGGCCGGGGGGGGGTGGGTGGGTGGTGGTGGTGGGGGGGTGGTGTTTGTTTTTGTTATATCATGGAAGTAAATACTGATCGGATGTTACTTGTTTAAGTGGTCCTGGGTGCTACAGAACTGGAGAGGGGGGGTGGGGAAGGTAAAATGTAACAGGTCTGGCACTTAGACAGTGGGGCCAGACAACTGTTATACATCCATTATTATGAATATTTATAAACAGATACGTTTGAGATTGTTTTATGTGTATATACCCTGAGTCCAACTGAAACAAGGACATGTCCCTGGTAGAGATATTCCTTAGTATGACATTAATTTATTATGAGATAGAAGTAAACACAATGGAAAGCATTACTACGCTATTCACTGTGTTTCTCTGGGGACTCAGAACTTAATAAATACGTGTCATAAAAAGGAATGAAAATAATCTATCCTAAAAGCTCTTTAGGTAGCAACACTCTGATTTAACAAGGAATAAACTTCCCCATTTTTCCTAAACACCCAGCCATTAAGGAATCTGTGTCTAAGATAAATGGCTGTTGTTAACATGAACGCTTGGGGCCCTGCATTACAAAGGCATGATGTAATAACTAATTAAAAAAAAAAAGAGAATTGGACAAAACATTCAAAGCAGTGAACATATTGAAAAAAATTTAGACTAAACAAGTAACTCTTCTTTTCTGCTAGATAAAGGTACAGGAATATAAGCAGAGCAGCTAACAAAATTTATCAGGTGTTACTTGTGTTATTTGATATAATCAAACCATATTGTGATTCCTCTATACATTTCACAAGTATTTTCTCCAGTTGGTTATGTCTGGCATAGTACAATTACAAGAAAGTTCTTAGAGCAATAAATTTCAGGATGTACATTCTATTCTTTCCAAAATTTACATAAGGCTATTAACAGATGCACAGTTTTTGTTTTGTTTGTTTTGTTTTTTTGGCTAGGCAATGGGGTTAAGTGACTTGTCCAGGTTCACACAGCTAGTAAATGTTATGTGTCTGAGGCCAGATTTGAACTCAGGTCCTCCTGAATGCAGGGCTACTGCACTATCCACTTTGCCACCTAGCTGCCCCAGAAGCCCAGTTAAGGTTGATACCTGGTAATCAAATTTTAAAAATTCATCCCTGGGATGAGGAGTTCATGAACATAGTGATCTAATATTAAGAGAGGGTAGCTGAGTTCACAAAAGTTGCACAAGCCAAATTGACAAGGGATGAGGAATATGAGGACAGGAAGTAGTGGTGACAAGGTTAGGCAGTTTTTTTCTAAGAGGTAAAGAAAAAGCACTGACTATATTGGCTGTCTGAAGCCTAGCTTAACTCAATATGGAAAGGCTTGTCAACAGAAGATTGGCCAATAATTGATTGTGTGTGTGTGTATGTGTGTGTGTTGTGTGTGTGTGTGTTGGCAGGGGGTATGTTAATCTATTAAACAGGTGGAAATATAGTATGGTTCTTAATTCTAATTTTGTAGTGATTGTAGTGATTGTAGTGAAATGGCATAGAAGGAGACAGAAAGTGTTAATTTACTAATCTTCATCAGTGACTTGCAAAAAGGCAAAGATGGCATGCTTTCTATATTTCCAGATAACACAATGCTGGAATTTGGCAGGGTTAAATGTAATTTCTCATTGGGTTTAAAAATTAACTTCTCTAGACCAAGAATAAGAAATGGGTCTACAAAGCAGTTCACCTGAAAAAAAAAAGATATAAGGATTTAAATGTATTGCAAGTGCAATGTAACTTAACAGTGCCATATACAGTTGCCAAAAAAGCCAATGTAGTTAGGCAGCACTAATAGAGACATAATATCCAAAGGTAAATAGCAATTGTTTCTGTTCTGGCCAGAAATTCTGAGGGTCTTCCCCACACAGACTGATTCTTTTGGGAAGTCAAACTAGGCCATCTTTTGCCTCAATTCTTGCCTAGCTTTTAATCACTGAATAGATATTGTTTCAGACAAACTCCTTTGAGAACTGGGACTTTTTCCTCTTTTGGTATCCCTAGCACTTAGCACAGTGCCTGGCACATAGCAGATGCTTAATAAGTGTTTACTCATTGACTGATTTTGAAAAGCATTATTACTAGGAAATCCTTTTTTTTCTTTTTCTTTTTTTTTTTTTGGGTGGTGGTGGTGGGTGGAGAGAGATATGTGTGGAACTATGAGCAACATCTTCTATTAATAAGGTACTTCACAAACATGTCCAAGGATGCTAGGCTGTATGGTATATAGAGCCTGGGCCTAGAATTAGGAAGACTTGAATTCAGATCCAGCCTCAAACACTTACTAGCTGTATGACCCTGGACAAATCACTTAACAGCTGTCTGCCTCAGTTTCCCAACTGTAAAATGAAGATATTAATAGTACTTACTTCATAGCCTTGTTATGAGGATCAAATAAGATGTTTATAAAGCACTTAGTATAGTTCATGGCACATAGTAGATTTATATATATATATATATATATATGTATATATATATACACACACACACACACACACACACACACACACACACACACATATATATATATATACATGCACACACACTTATACATGTGTATTTAAATCATACACATATATTATTTATAGCTAAGTGGTACAATGGATAGAGCACTGTACCTGAAGTCACAGAAGGATTTTTTTTTGGGGGGGGGGGCTAGGCAATGGGGTTAAGTGACTTACCCAGGGTGTCTGAGGTCACATTTGAACTCAGGTCCTCCTGAATCCAGGGCCGGTGCTCTATCCACTGCACCACCTAGCTGCCCCGACTGTACCTGAAGTCAAGAAGACCTGAGTTCAAATCCAGCCTCAGGTCCTTACTAGCTGTGTGACCCTAGGCAAGTCACTTAACCTCTGTCTGGCTCAGTGTCCTAATATACAAAATGGGTATAATTATAGCACCTATCTCCCAGGGTTGTTGTGAGGATTAAATGAGATAATAATTATAAAGCACTTAGCACAGTGCCTGGAACATAATAGGTACTATATAAGTGTTAGCTATTACTAATATTGTTGATTAATTCCTGAAAAGTATATGTCATACTAGTACATCATATCCTATTATCTGCACATTACTTTAGAAGTGCCTTATCTTTTGTAGCATATAACCTTAGTATCAGAAGACCTTGGTTTATCTTATTTCTAGGGAATGATACTTAAGTACTAAGCAAAATAGAGCTTAATTCATGATATTTCATATTTTAAAATTGTCACCTTTTAAAAAAATACGTCAACAAAAATAGGAATAGTTTTCCCATCCATTCACTCCTAAATTTGAATATATCTAACCACAAGTTTCTTCCTGAAATAAGAGCTGCCTTTTTAATGCCAGTGCTCTTCTGGAGATGACATATAATTATGAAGTATAGAATGTCAGCATCTCTGAGGAATCCGAATTTCAGACCACCCAACGGCCAATGGGGAAACATGGGGTGAGATGAGAAAGTGGCTTGTAGCTTACTGCCAGCAATGCCATATTCAATAAGTGGAGCAATGGGATGTGTGCTGACTCTGGCATCTGAAGACTTGGGTTCAAATCCTTCCTTCACTACTTAGCACCAGTGTGATCTTACTTAAGGCATTTTAGCTCTCTCGGCTTTGATCACCTCATGTGTAGATGAGCTCTGAGGTCCCACCCTGCATTAAATTTATGATAGCTTGTACGATGACTTTCTCTTCAGGGAGCACAGGGAGAAATCTCTATGCCATCCCTATAAATATTAAGAACGGATTTCTTTGTTTGATTATTACTACTCCTTTAATGAGGATTTTAAAAAAAGGTCTTTTTTTCTGTCACCATGAAATTGCCTTACTGGGCTTAAATTATTTCTTTCTAGATGCATAGGTAGATTTAAGAGATGAGGTTCAGTAATCTTCAGAAAACATTTAGTGGTCAGAGTGACCATTGGAGAATTATATCACGTATTCATTTAATACCAGTTCCACCAAACGAGTTAGGGAAAAGGTGACTAATACTTACATCAGGAGACTTTTTATACTTGTCAGTTTGTGAACAAGATATTGATGGAATTTCCACCCATAAAAACATCATGACCAAGCATATATGAATATTTCCACTAATAGCTAATGTTTCCATTGCATTCCATTCTAAACTGTGCTTCCCAAATTAAGGTTATTGAAAAATTATATACGACATAAAAAATTCATATGTAGGTATATAGCTATTTACACATGCAAAAGGTATGTATGTACATATGCATGTGTACATAGACATACGTATGCATATATACACTCATATATTCATGCATGTAAATATTTACATGCATGCATAAACACATATAAATTACATATAAATTAAAATAACTTAGTAACAGATGTAAAGGAGGCAAATCACAGTGACTATACAGTTTCCTAGGAGCACAAATGAATTGATAGGTATAGTCTAATTAGTATTCACATTCACAGACAATGACACAGAAAGGAAAACTTGGATAACGTTAAATAGAAGCTTCTTATAGCTTTTATATATAAAAGTTTGTATTTCACTCTCTTGTGGATTTTAGGTTTGGGATGTCTTGGATTTCATTTGGCCATTTTAAGACCTAAACTCAGTTCTTTGTATAGGATTTTGAGGATTTAAGCTCAGTCTTGAAGGAAGCCATGGAAACTAAGAGGCTGAGGCAAGAGGAGCAGAGCATTCCAGATGTGGGGGACAGCTGGGGCAAAGGCTTGGAGATTGAAGATGGAGTGTTGTGTTTGAGGAACTACCAATTGTTCATGGGTAATCACTAGGATTGGTGATCCAGTCAGTCTGCAAAAACCCACCATAATGTTATCATAAGATTTAGAGCTGTGGGAGACCTCCTACAGAACTTCCTCATTTTACAAATGAAGAAAATGAGACTGAGAAAGATAAAATAACTAGCCTAAAATTTCAAAGGCTGTTAAGTATCAGAATGGGAATCCAAATGTGTCCTCTGACTCCAGATCCATCATTCTTT